ATTACACACAGGAGGCTGGAGAACGTGTTCTTCTAATCTACTGAAATGTCATTGGATATTCTCCCTCCTTTGTCCAGGTGGTTTCAAATGTGCTGGGGCGCAAAGAATGACGGGAGAGATAAATCACAAAAAGAGCTCTCCATCAGGGCTGAAGCACGTTTCCAAAGTTTGGGTTAGGGGCCAGAAATGGGACACAGGATTTTTGATTTGGATCGCTTGGTTTCTTTTCCAGGTTTTAATCAGATGTTACATGGAATGTTTGGACCATGGGAGGACGCCCACCTGCAGTGAAGAAGGTTCCCTCAACAACTAACACGACATCAGATGAAGGAAAACGTAGGAGGGAAAATGCAAAACAAGACGAGAAAAAAATGCTTAAAATACATCACCAACATACAGTCCTAGGGATTTATATTTATGCATACATCTGTGTGTAATTGGTCTACATCTACAGTATTTCTGGCCCAAATGGAAACAGCACCTGCTGAAACAGCACCTGCTGAAACAGCTTACCTGGATGCATTATTTGAACCTTGTGAAGCAGATCATTTATTCCAGCTCAAACTGGAAACAGTTCTTAGACAGCCCACAGCCCAGGACCAAACTTGGACCAGAGCAGTTCCCTCTGATCACATTTGTTGGCCTGGTCTGGTTCCTGGTGCAGCTTCAAGACCCAGCGGAGTCCAAGCCCCAAAAGTTCTGCAAGTAGACCTTAATCCAAACACATTTTCTGGATCATTTCTGGGCACCGGCGTTCATGCTACATGGAAATGATAGCCATGTTAAGCAACAGTTCATAACATGACACCATCAAAAACAAAACATAGTGCTGTAACTCATGGAGATGTTACTTTGCAGAAGTTTCTGGAATACAAAACGTCGGTGTGCAAAGAAGATGAAAGACGTAATGACAACAAGCTGTTCAAGGAACATTTGTTTTCATCTTCTTCCAGAGGCGTCAACTTGAGATACATTTAAATAATTGCAACATTGCCACTGTGTGAAAATTGTTGAAATCTAAAGCAAATAAGCACAGTACTTCTGCAGAGAAGAGTAATTCCTGTCTAGGATGTTCCACACCATACAGATCCACCTTCCTGTCTCTAAGGACACCTGTTGGTGAGAACCAGCCTCTGCAGGGAGGACGGACGTTCTTAGGAATATGAGACGATGGCGCCTTAACACAACTCCCCACAGACCTCAGCTCATTATTCATAATTCAGACTCCAGAAGAAATATGAATGAAATATAGAGTATTGCAAGGTCAGTACTCACAAACACACAATAAAGAGATAAATTACAGATAAATTTCAAAAAGCCACAAATTGAATTCTCTACAATCAGTTCCCATTTAATGATAAACAAACCACAGAGTTGCGGTGATATATTCTTATAATTCAAAAATTATCCATATCCGCATTACAGTGAGTTTTAAGATGCACAATGTTTTGAAATGTCAAAGACTCATTGAAGAAAAATAATATTGTCAGACAGAGAGTTAAATGATCGGGCCTTTGGGTGGATGCAGGGATGGGTTCGATCTTTTTGTCTGGCCTGCCCTGGTCTGGCACAGTTCGCAATCCTGCCCCAGACACAATAGATCATACAGTAGGAGGCAGAGAAAGAGAGAGGGGGAGAGAGAGA